GCCGGTGGTTGCGCTCGCAGCGCATAGGGCCCTGGCCCTCCCTATGCCCTTTGCCCTCGGGTGTCGCGATGGCGGGGGGTGTCCCCTTGGGCGGGGAAGGGCACCGTCAGCGCTGAGCCCGTTTGTGGCCCTGGGGCTGGGCAGGAGCTGGTGGTGGCCCCGCAGAGGCCCTGAGCAGAGGCGGGGCCGGTGTCAGTGTCCCGCACGGTGCCCCAGGCCCTCAGTGGGGTCCCGGTGCAGCCTGGCCGTGCCTTTGGGTTGGAAGGTGGTGTGAGAAGCTCCAGGGCATGCAGGTGCCTGCGCTGACCCCGGCAGCACCAGCTTTCAGGGGCTGGAGGGTGCTTGGGGCTCCGCGGCTGCGGGAGGTTGCTGGGCTGCGGTCACTGCCTGGAGGCACGGCCGCGTCCCCCCGCCCTTCCAAACACCCTTCTGGGACGGCAGGACCTGTTCTGGCATGGAGGGGACGGCACTGTCCTGTCCTCAACCAGCACCCCACTAGGGCTGGGGCACCTCGTGGTGGCCCTGGGGCAAGCAGACAGCACGCGAGGAGGGAGTCCCCTGCCTTGTGGCCCCGTGGCAAGGGCTGGCTGCGTCCACGCGCCCCAGGAGGAGGTGGAGTGAGCCCGGACCCTCTGCCTTTGGCGGTGGGAACGTCCCGGCCACGCGGCTCTCAGCATCTGGGCTCCTGCTCCACTGGCCCAGGTGGCCACGCTGGCTCTTCAAATGTGTGGTGGGGCCTGCAGAGCGGAGAGCAGCCGCTGCTGCCGCCTCTCCTTACTGCGGGGAGGGGGGGTCCTTCCCACTGACTTGGGAACAGCCGTGTCCACGGGGCTGCAGCGTGGCTCCGTGCTCTCCCCGGGGCTGGGTTACACATTCGCGCTGTCTGTCAGACACATCTCTTGGATGTGCTGGTGCTCCCTGAGCGGATTTGGCCATATCCGCTGGGCTGCAGGTCTGCGCCGACGCGTCTGCAGAGGAGCAGCACCCGGGGACCGTTCCATGCTGATACTGTACTCACCTGGCATCTCTCCCCGCAGGCCTACAACATCCACGTCAATGGGGTGTTGCACTGCCGAGTGCGTTACAGCCAGCTCCTGGGGCTGCACGAGCAGGTAGGCAGCCATCGACAGCGGCACTGGGAGCTGCTGCCCGCTGTCCCCTCTCCCGCTGCGCCCCGGGGTCTGCCTTTGGGTGCCGTGGGACCCCAGGTTCTGCCGTCGGGTGCTGTGCTGGCTGCGAGCAGGCGTGTGCTGCCTGCAGGGCCGGCCAGGGTGTGATTTCCTTGGCATCGGGTTCGGGCCTCCCCTCCTGCTCTGTGACACCCCAGCTGAGTTCTTGCAAACCGCTGCCTGCCCGCTGGGATGAGGAATGCGGGCGAGCTCTCCGCTGCCCTTGCCGGGGCCTGGAAGTCAGCTGGGGTGGGGGTCAGGGGAGCCGCTGTCTCCCCGGAGGCTCTCGCAGTGCTCTGCTCTCTTCCCAGTTACGGAAGGAGTATGGCGCTAACGTGGTCCCAGCCTTTCCCCCGAAGAAGATCTTCACCCTCACCCCGGCTGAGGTAGAGCAACGACGGGAACAGCTGGAGAAATACATGCAGGCTGGTAAGCTGGGTCTGCCCCACGCTGCGGCCCAGGGCCGGCTGTCCCCTGCCCGCATATTCTTCCCCACGCTGCTCCCGTCGCTGTGGCTCCTTGGTTCTCCCAATCTTGCTCTGGCATTAACCGGCCTTGTCCACCAGACATTGGCTCCCTCGTCCCAGCCCCTTCCCCTTCCCTGAGACCTGCCGGTGCCTGTGGGGAGCCCGTGGCTGCCCAAGCGCAGGCCCTGCCTGCAGCACACGCTTCCTCTGGGGCAGACAGAGGGGCCGGGTGCCGGTGTGGGCCCCTGCCCCCTCCCACGTAACTCCTGGCTCCTCGCTCGCCTTCCACCCACAGTGCGGCAGGACCCGACGCTGGGAGGCAGCGAGACCTTCAACAGCTTCCTGCGCAAGGCCCAGCAGGTGGGGGGCCGGGGGGCGCGTGCCGGGGTCCCCGGGCGGCGGGGCAGTGGTGGGCGAGGGCAGGGGGACAGG